CTCTCTAGATATCACCTCAAGCGAAGCGTCTAGTACCGACAGTGTCACATAGAGTTCACGTAATCTAAGAATCAATCATGGTGCTTTCACTTTCGATAATTAACTTTTATATAGACACTCGCATACATAATTACTCATTACTCATACAGTATATAAATAATTAAATATATATTAGTATATGAGCATACGTAATAAATATCTAAAAAGTTTTACGATGGTAAAAAATCTAATAATATGTATTATTATTGTCACTCTGTCATCATCCAAGTTCAAACTTGCATAATACATTTTGGCAGAAAAAACGACCGAGCGTTTATATAGTCACTGATTCTTGATATAAACGTTCATCACTCATATATAGAAATATATGTACACTAGGGTATGAGTAAATACATATATATATACACTCGCATATATAATAAACAACATTAAGCTTATGTAACTTAAGTAAAAATTTCCACACAAAACCAAAAGATTTCCGGATTCGGAAATATATTATTATATGAGCATAATTACATATAACTAAATTATAAATTAATTTGAAAATTTTGATCTATTTTGGGTCGTTACTGGATTTTTTTTTAATGAAATTAGATAGGAGCATATCTGCAAATCTAGTGAGCTTTGATTGTCGTATTCGTATCTAATATCTATCAATAATTAAGCGACTAAAACGGTAAAAAAAATATATATATAAATAAATTAAAAAATCGTCCAACGAAACAATGATTAAACCCTTTATCATAGACAGTATGGAATCCACTCCTCGCACTACAAAACGATCTCTTCTACTTCTCTTTTGCTTAACCTAAAAGAAACAAATTATAGTGTACATAATCGATAGTATCTTATGAAATATCTAAATTAAATTATTTTTGTAGTTAGAGCCTGGAGACGTTGGTATCGGCGTATCGCATATACACGTTTTCTCCAAATATAAAAAGTAAAATTTTATACTATTGTTTGTTTTTGAAATCAGATCCTTTCTTAAAATGGTTTGAAAGGGAAAATAAAAATTGGAAAAATAAACCAAATTATTCTGAGAACGAAAAGGAAATTAATTGCGTCACGTAGGAGCACTAAAACGAGAAAGCATTTGGTGGTCAATGTGTCAAAAGCCCACTTCTTATTAAACAAAATAAAGAGGAAAATAACAACAAAACACACACTCTTATAAATTAGAGATATAAATATATATATATTAAAAGGGTATTGCATTATTGTTTAGAGAGATCCACTTGGTCACTTGAACTTAACACTTCTCTTCGCAGTCTTCTTTCTCCCTTTTTATAACATTTTCTTCTTTGTAACCATATAATTATAGAATAAGAGTGTTGCTAATTTCTGAAATTGGGCATACATGTTATTTGTTACTCTATCCATATATGATAAATCTTGGTTACGATTTGGAGACATAAATCAATGTTTACTCTTAAACTGATTTATATTATGCATGTATGTATAATTAACTTTAGTCCTTTATCTTTTAATTCTAACATTGATATTTTCTTTTTTTAGGATTCTAGTTCACAAGAGCTAATATATGGTCGCATACTTGTACTTATTACTACTTAACCAACAAATCAGACGTGCGTATGGCTGGTATTTTGTCCTTAATGGATAAGGGAATCTCCTTTTGTCTAATTTATTTTGGAAAATATTAAATGTACAAACTGGGCATGCAGGTAGACAAACATTAACAACACATTTGTTCGTGTAGAGATTTGAGATCAATCAATTAGGATTAGACAACTAATTATAGTACATATCACAATCCTAATTGCTTTAGGGTTTGACTTACGCATCTTACCTTTGTGTATCGGTAAATTATAATTGTTGTAGCTATTACCCTTCAAGGAAGTGTATACATACTAGAACGAGAGTCGTTAACATTATGAGTGATAGAAGTAATACTAGGGCCATGTTGGTTTTCTTCTTCTAAATTAAGGCCTATATACTTTTTAATTTGACAGTTGGCCCCTGTTTTGCAATATCTTATTTTAGGACCCTAAAATAGTAAGAAACAAATACCATTATAATGTCATTTGTAAGGTCCTTTTTTAAAACCCATGAAAAATCCGTTGTTTTTCATTCTTCCGCCAGAACCATACATTATATATATATTGACCTTTGTTTGATATCACAAGTGAGCTCGAGTGGCTAAAAATATTACTTCAATCCCCGATATTCCACCATGGTAAGCCAATGACAACGATGGGCATGTGACACTAATTAGTTTAAAAAAATTAGCGTACCAAAAATATCAAAGTCTAGTGTCATTTTGTTTGTGATAAATTTATGATAGTACAAGTGAAACATATAATGGTCTCAACTGAAAAACAACTTGCGGAGATTCTCACTAAAACTTCAGGTTGCAGAGAATTCAAGATTTACTTATGCAAGTTGGATATTGAACACTTGTACTCCTCAACATAACATACCTATTATGATTGAGACAAGTAATCAAAGTGACGATAATATAACTTCACGTGTTATACATGGGTACATAGACTTATACAAAGTGTTGTACCTATCATTCTAAAACAAACTTTGAGAGATTACCGACCTAAAACGCTAGAAACTTTCAAAATTTTCCGCCTATTACCATTTTTTTGCTAGAAATTTTTGCCTATTATTAGAAACCAATTTTTTTATTTAAACTCTAAAAAATATCCGATATTATTCAATTTTTGATTATTAATTTTTATTTTATTGATATTATTTAAGTTACACTCTAGTTTTAGAAAGTATCCTGACTCCTTAAAGAAATGAAAGAATGAGAAGCAAACTTGTTTTTGAAAGAGTGAGAAGCAAACTTGAATTGTTTCCTTTCTTTTTAAAAGAATCAGAAAATTACGAATAACTTTGTGTACTATATTGTAAAAAGTAATATATGTGTATGCACACACAATCATCCTACCACCTACTACTTGATATTATACATGGAGAAAACTATGTGATATATCAACTTTAATATAATGCAAACACGTGTTACGCATTGAAAAATAAACGAAATCACTACCTGTATTATACAATGTATTTTTGTTTTAAAAGGTCTATATTTCTTAACTCCGAAATCGTTAAAAGAAAAAGTTAGAAAGAAATTCTAAAATGAATTCTTATAAACGATATGCTGACATATAAAAGTAAAACATGTAAGACACATATGTTTCTGTAACTTATTCATATCTCTAAACAATAGTGCCTTAAAATATTCCAAAAGATACGTAGACGACGTATTATTGAGTGAACAAAATAATGAGTGTCTTTTTAATCTAACTTTTGCTCGACTATAAAAAGGAGTCATTCTCCATTAGGTTTTGCCTGCCTCAAACAAATAGAGCTTATCTCATCACTCACCAAACATCTCTCATCAGTATAAAGAGAGAGGAAGAGAGATCCTCTATATATAAAAGTAGACATATAGGAGTGTTTTATAGCTAAAGATATATTCTCTCTATTTTAGTAGTTAAGGAATATAACTAAGTAATAAAAATGAAAGGCGGAGGAGGCAAATGTGGAAACATGGAGAAAATCAAGCCGATATTAGCGATAATATCGTTGCAATTTGGGTATGCAGGCATGTACATCATCACCATGGTCTCATTCAAGCATGGCATGGACCATTGGGTCCTTGCCACATACCGTCACATCGTCGCCACGGTTGTCATGGCTGATCTCTGGTTTTCAAAGTTGAAACGGTATGCTGTGCAAATGGATGGAACATTAGTCTTTATAGCACCATTGAACCGAGCCAGCGAGCCTTTTCCTCTGGGCTGAGACAATGACTCATCATCATCTCTCTCACGTTTCTTTGAGTTCCATGCAGAGCCATGCCAACGTTGCCCTAAAAAACAGTTCGTTAGTAATAAAAAAAAATGTCGATAATAATAAAAGTCATCATCATATAACAAAAAAAAAAATACATAACTAAAATCAACAAGAAAAGTATTTGTTCTAAAACAAGTATCAAATTTTTAAAATCAATGTTTTTAACCTATACGATGGATAATAATATAGCTATAGTCAAGCTATTAAAACTTTCATTTACTTAATCATTACTAGCTACTATAAACCTTTCAAGAATATTTCCTTTCTACGTGTAGTTAAGTCCATTTTTTCTATAATTCAACTGTTTAGGTTTAATCAAATGACACCAAGAACAATATGCCCTCATATTCTTTCAGAAAATTAGATGTCATAATCAAGCAAATGTTTATTTTCACTACACTAAAGCATGGCACTGGTTACCTGTCACCGGTCTGATCAGTATATTACGAGGTTTCTTTGGGATATTTATTCTCTTCCCAAGCAGAAGAAACCCATCTTGCTGTCCACTGGATTCACCATCGTTAGCACTCTTCTTCTCAGCATTTTGTTGGCATAACCTCGAAGTTTCTTGGTTGCTTTTTACACAAGAAAGAGAATTTTGCATCTCAGCCGGTGGCTGCTGTACAGGCTTATTATCCAATAACAGTACATTGTTGGCTGCGCCCAGAAAAAAAGAAAACGTGAATAAGCAGCAACACAAGACTATAATATAACTTGTTACCAAAAAAAAGAGACTATAATAGAACTTGACAGTATTTCTCAAAGGTCTAAAAGTTTTGTTTTGCTTGTAGCAGAGTTAGCTATCTAGACTACATGGGATCAGGTTTAAAGGATCATTTCAATGACAACACACACAAAACAAATCAGGAAACATATCATTTTTTATAGCTCAGACATATCATATTTTTTTTCAGATTGCGTTACTTGATGAGAAAGAAAGAGAGACGAGGGAAAATTAAAAGTGAGAAAACGTACCAGGTCCTAGAGCAACATGTTGATTTGGGTTGCTTTGTTGAGAAAAGCTGGCCAATAATTTTGCTCTTGCCTCATAATCCTTAACACATCTAGACAACCAATCTTCTGTGGATTTCAGTAGCAAATCATTTTCACCAATCCTCTCCACCAGACTATCAAGCTCCTTCTTCTTCTGGGAAAGCTCTTGCTCACGTTCCAACAGTGATACTTTTAGTCTGACTTGCTGCTGCTCTTTAGATTGCAATTCTTTACAACTGTCTTCAATCTTCTTACCCAGAGAACTAAGCTCAGCTTCTTTTGACTGGAGCACAGGAGTAAGTTCAGTAAGTAAGCTTTGAACCTGGTCAAGTTGTTTCCTCTTAGATTCCAATTCACTTGAGCATTCCATGATGGCCTTGTCGATTGAACAAACCTCTTCTTGCTTCACATGGAGTTCTTTTTTTATAAGCTGATCCTTGTCGGAGTTATCCAAAGGTTGCACTTCCTTCTTTCCTTCCTCCACTTGTTTCTTTCTTTCCGTGATGAGTGACTCTAGATAACTTAAATGCCTCTCTTTGCTTCTCACGGTTTGGAGGCACTCTTTGAGTTGGCCACTCACAGAGTGAAGTTCATCTTTCTTTGACTCAACATCCTCAGTGTATTTTTGTATCTTCCACTTTTTTGAACGCATTTTCTCAGCGAGCGTCTCGGTGATGTCTTTAGTTCTTTTGAATGTATTCTCTTTGAAGGCAAGTTCCACGGATAGTTTACGAAGAGTATCCGTTATCTCATTCTCTTTCTTCTCTATAGAAGAGAGTTCTTGAGTGTGTTCCGCAATCAACTTCTTGATGGATTCCAAATGTGCTCTACGTTCCTCAATCGTCCTTTCAGTCTCCTCCTTCTCCTTAGCTTTTGATTCCAGGTCGTTGACTAGTGATGTTACCTTGCGTTCCTTCAAGTCAACATCCAAACTTAGGGCTTCCAATGTTTTCTCTTTGGAATCAAGCAGATTCTGCTGAGACTCTTGACGCTTTACCAAAACTTCAAGCGACTTTCCATATTCCGCAATTTTATCCAAAACCTCCGTGAGTTCCTTCTTCTTACTCTCTACTTGCTCGTTAAGCTCGAGGTGATCATTCTTCATTTTCTCCAACTGTTCCCCTTTTAACTTAAGCTCACTTTGAGTCATTTTTAGTTCCGAGGACCGTGTTTTAAACAACTTCCCACATCCATCGATGTGATCAAGAAGCATATGAATATGATTACTCTTTCTCTTTATTTCCTCAGCCAATTCTCCATTGCGAGTTTGAATCTTATCAAGATGCTTCATCTCTGCGCTAAGCTCAGCTTTATGCCTCTCATGATCAGTCTTCATCTTTCCCAACTCTTCTTTCTTCGACTCAACCTCAACTTGAGTCTTTGTTAGTTCCGAGGACCGTGCCTCAAGCAGCTTCTCACATTCCGCAATCTTTTCAAGAACTGCTATAAGATCCTTCACCTTTATATCTATCTCCTCCTCCAGTTCTCTATGGCGAGTTTGACTCCGTTCAACATTCTCCATCACCGCCTTAAGCTCACCTTGATGCTCCTCAAGATCAGCCTTGACCTTTGCTAAATGTTGCAATTTTAGCTCAAGGTCACCCTGAGTCGTTATCAGGTCCGAGGTTCGTGTCTTAAGCCGCTTCACACACTCCTCAGTTTTGTCCAGAACCATATTGAGATCTCTCGTCTTTTTCTCATTTTCCTCATCCAGTTCCTTCCTGCGAGCTTGACTCATGTCCAAAAGCTCCTTCTCTGCGCTGACCTCAACACGATGTCTCTCAAGATCTGCTAGCTCTTGTCCTTTCAAACCAAGCTCAAGCTGTGTCTTTCTCAACGTTTCCAACAGCTCATTAAGTTGACTTGTCTTTGAGCTTTGCGTTACCATACACTCTTCCACCAGCTTCTTCACAACACTCAGCTCCTCTCTTTTCTCTTCAGTTTCCCTCTTCAAGCCACTCATCTGAGCTTCTGCTGCTTCAACCACTTTAGCTCTTTCTTCAAGTGCAATGCTTCTCTTTTGAAACTCTACTTCCTTGGACTGTAGTTCGTTGAACCTCTTCTCTAGCTTCTCTTCCACTGACTTCAGACTGTTCTCTAAATCACAACCCTGAATATGGAAGACAAATACATCTGAGGATTCAGGATTGACCTTCTCCATTGCTTTGCGGACATTTTCTCTCTTCACCCCACAGAGCTTTATCTCGTCTCCTAGCTTCATTTCCTCCATTGCCTTCTACTGCACGGAAGAGTAGCCAAAAAAAGGAAAACCAAAACTATTTAATTCCAGAGTCCAAAAAAAAAAAAAAAAAAAATACATGAAATCAACCGTCCACAAGATTACGATTCTCTCTAAAATACAACAACTAATTTAAAAGAGAGAGTATTTCTTTGAAAAGAGATTCATCATCAACCTATATAGCATGATGCCCAGGGAACCATATGTTATGCTAATTTTTCAAATACACATGAATTTGACATATTTTAGAATCAAAATAAATTCACATAGTTCCAATATGGATATGTATTTTTAACACAAAATCAACCTAAATTCTATAGATTTTTGATTTTTAGATGTGTATTTTAACAAAAAATTTCAAATCTTTTTATTATTCAAAATTGGCAATTGAATAACAACATCTATATTTCAGCTAGAGTTTTGATTACGATAAACAAACGGAAAAAAAAAAAAACAATAATTAAATATCATAAAACTTGACTTACATTTTCAAGGCAATTAAAATCCCCCGATTCAGTAAATCCAAAATTCCCTTTTTCGTCAGCGACAGATCCACAACAGTTGGAATGGCGAACGAACAACAGCCTGTGACTGGTCTAATATATGAGCTCCTTCGTTTCTGATGATTTTCTCAATGCTTTCTCCCACCAATTCGCAGGTCTTGCGTCAGCCACTACTGAAACACACAGCAACCATATAGTTTCCTTCAAAATCGCTAATTGGATAGCATAAAATTAGCTATCAATAATCAAATAATTTATTTTCAACCAATAATCAAATAGCATAAAAATTGACTTACATTTTCAAGTCAATTAATGAAAAATCTGATTCAGTAGATCCGGAAGCCGCTTTGGTCGGTGACAGTTCCAAAACAGTTGGAGCAAAGGAGCAAATTGCGACAGAAGTCCTAATTTTCTCCCAATTCTCGATGCTTTCTCCGACCGCTTTTTATGCCATGCGTCAGACACTGTAACACAAGCGAATATACATTAATTGTGGTGCGGAAGACGAAGTACACGTAAAAAGCTATCACAATTTAGACACACGGAGGTGAAGACAAAGTTTCCAAACCAAACAACTTAAGCGATAAAAAAAACCCTAAAAGTGGCGGAACCTAGAGCGAGAGAGGTTAGAGAGCGTAGAAATTAGGGCTTACCAAAGGAGAGACGGAGGGATTAGATCTGAAAGAGAAACACACACCACGAAACTATGCTTTTCTCTGGCCACTAGAAGATAAGAAATTGGTTTGAGCAGATAGAAATAGAGAAAGCCCAATCTCCTTAATTACCTTTATATTGAGAGAGTCTACAAAACAGGTCCAGAGAGCTTCTGAATCTATCAGTTTAATAGATTGTCAAATTGTTTCAGTAGATTACGTCGACCTTTATAGGAAGAGCATCAACTGTGCATCTTTCAGTTTTGGCAGATACGCTCTCCCCAATAATGAAATTGCCTCTCTCAATTAATTGGAGAAAGTGCAAGCTATTAATTGAGTAACTGGTCAACAATAAATAAATAAAATAAATCTTTTGCCTGACACCTCATCATAACATGTTGTCTTTTTGCAGTGTCAGTTATGAAATTCAATGTTGACTATTTCAAGTAAAGTCAGATTATTTTCACTGACTATTGGTTTTCTTTTGTTTCATTTACAACTAAAAAAAATCAATAAAAGAACGTATAGAAACCCAAAACTATATCATGATCAAGACCAGGAGAAACGTCCAATACTGGTCAAGACAGTGGCTTAACACCTCCATGGGAGTTCAACTGCTCTCTTGTTCCCCCATGATCATAGTGGCCTAGTGGGATTGAGTTAATGAGGTAAATTTCCACAACGAGATTTTATCATTTGAAGTTGAAGATAGTATCAAAGTCGGCTATTAAATTTGGGTTTACTGTTTGGTGAGGAAAGATCTAAGCTGCATGGAAACGGAAACGGAAACGTGGAAGCGAAACGTTTCGGAAACGGGAAACGTCATTTTTGAAAAATATAAGAATGGAAACATTTTGGAAACGTTTGCATATATATATATATAAAATTAAATAAATAAAATATTATAAATTGAGATAAAACCAATAAAATATTTAACAAAGTCCTAATCAGTTATGATGCAAGGATAATAGGAGATTTATTTTGTGGTTATTATAACGTCCATATAGGTATATATATTATAGTTAGAGGAAAATGTTAAATAAATTTCCTTGGTTCTCAGTTGTAATGTTGCAGCTTGTTATGAGTTCGAGTCTTGGGTAGTACATTTTGGTTCGTGTTTCAATTATTATAAATGGAGGGTATAATTGTCATTTCGATAATCTCTTCTCCCCGACATCATCTGCTTCTCTGCAACCCTAATTTTGGCGGCCACCTCCAACCATTATCACATCAAACATCTATTTTTTTGGCATTTTTCAGTCGATTTTCTTCATTAAACTTATGAATCTAACAGATATGAATCTATCACATACTAAAATATCGAATACAACTCAAATTCTCAAAATTCTCCGACATTTTTGTTGATGGGGCTTTACACACGGCTAAGGCGGTAGCAGAGACTGCGTTTTCGAACAGAAAATAGGTTTCCGTCGCGTTTCCGTTTTGGAATCGGACGTTTCCACCACGTTTCCAAATAGAATATTTCACGAAACACGTTTCCATGCGTTTCCGTCGCGTTTCCGTAACGTTTCCGTTTCCGAAACGTTTCGAAACGCGAAACGCACATTGATCAGCGTTTCCGTGCAACGTAGGGAAAGATAAACATTACTCCAAAATAGATTCCAAAATCAGCTACTCTTTCAGTTTCATTGTGATTGATAGCTACGTATCTAATCTTCCCATACATAAAGAATAACAACAGGTTTTATACATTAGCTGTATAAGCTATGCAGTTTAGGGCCAAGTTCTGCTGAGTCAGTTGGCAATACTAAATGGAAAAAAGTAAAAACTTCATAATTTCTAAACGATTTTGCATATATTGATCAGTGTAGCAAGTGTATGTACTGTATATATGTGTACATTTTGCCTCAGCTACAAAATCGTTTAATATAGGTCTATAACTCTATATTGTATATGTAATGAATTTGTTTGCGTGGTATGGACTTTGTTAAATACAATGTTCATATGGTTGAATAGTAACAATATATGTATATGTTCATTTACGGTTTATAATTCAATTGTGAAGTGGTCTCAGAACCTCTTTTTCTCTCCTGATTGTGTTTACTTTTCCTCGGAATGTTCTACTTTTTTGTTCCGGTAAATGAATTATAAAAGGATAGCCACATAGGGCATTAACTACGAGCCATAATAAGAGAGTCTGATTTTCCTAAACACTATCTTTCAGTTCTAACTTAGCATTACATTCCATAGATTATGCCTCAACTAGAAAGCTATTTGCGATTAACAAAAAGAGAAATAAACTTTATGGGTTCTTTGAGTTAAGACTTAAGATCAAGAAACTGCTTTAGGGTCAAGCTCCCAACATTCTCCATCCCCAAACCGAGTCACTCTTTTCAACTGTCTGTACGCTGGAATCTGATGCGAGAATCTACTCACTTCTGTCTTAGCTATGACTACAAAACCCGCCTTTGAATTTTGACTCTTTCCGTAGAGAAGCTTGTTAACACCTCTAGCAGTCAAAGGCACCACTTGAATGCTCTGCTCGTCGGTTTCCACTACTTCCACAATCTCAACTTCTTCAGTCTCAGCACAATTCCAGTTCTTATACAGAGCCCAGATCTCACCTTCTCCTGGATAGACTTCAAATCTTTTTGCACTAATCTTGATCGCTTTAACTTCATGTGAGAAGCTGCTAGGTTGAAGCACTTCTGCTATACCGGTTTTCAACTTGAAGTGGCCACAGCAAACAGGATGTGTCGTCATGCGACTTGAGGGACGATACAGCTCTAGAGGTGCTACGTGTAGCTTGAACTCAGGACTTGTGTCGATTCTCTTGATCTGACCATACTTTCTAGGCATCATCCCTTTCTCATCGCTATAGATAGCCCATACTTGATCAACCAAGAACTTGTCCGCAGATCTCTGATTCTCAAAGTTAAAAGTGTTTTCTTGCCTGGTTCTGCAACTAGACGGCACATGAGTCTCTGGTTCTGAGTTTCTTGTACTACCATTCGACTGAGTCAGCAACTCATCATTTCTATCACGTTTCTTTGAGTTCCCTGTCGGTTTGTGTGTATCCTGAGGCGTTTCTCTGATTCCTGAGGAATTCGTTGCGTCAATCTTCTCAGGTTTCTTTGGTGTAGTCATCTTCTCAGCAGATAAACAAAACCCATCTGCCTGTCCACAGGATTCACCATTATTCACACTATTCTTCTCAGCTTTTCGTTGACCTGACCTTGAAGTTGCTTGGTTGTTTGTTTCACTCAAACGACGAGGAGATCTTCGCAGTTTCAAACCATCCACTGTTTTGACACTCTTTCTGGACTTCTTCACTGACCTCATTTCACCATTTTCATGGACTTTTTTGCGTTTCTTTGGAGATGGAGTGCTCTCTAGATTAGTATTTGCCTGCACCTCAACCTCGGAAGCCTCATTCTGCCTTTCTCTATCCAACCCAACATCAACTTTTGAGTTATCAACGTCGAAATCTTTCGGTAAAGCAGCAGTGTCTAACTCAAAGCACCCAGGAGGAACATCTTCTCTCTCCTTTCCAGTCATTTTGAATGACGGGACTTTATGAGAAAATCTAAGTATCTCGCTTGGTGGAACTTGAAGTTGGAGAACTCCATACTGTGCCTGTCTGCGAAATAGAGAAACAAACCCTTCCACTTTCCCCAGATAGGCCACTCCAAGGCCATCTACATCATCAAAATCAGAGAGAGTTTCAACAAAGTCATATTCATAAACCCATTTATGATTTTCTGAAATAGCACTCCAGTTGATATCCCAGCCTCTGAAAACTGCCCAAATTTCTCCTCGTCTTGGATAAATGACAATGTTATTGTCGCGATGTAAGTGAAGCATCTGACTAGAAAATATCAAATGGTCATCTACTTCCTGTGAATCCCCATCTTTGAAGGCTCCGCAAGCAATGGGAATAGTGTTACCTTTATTATCCTGCAAAGGGTCAATCCACGTAATCCCCAGCTTGAACTCAGAATCAAACACTTTTTCTATTCGAGCATACAACCGAGGCATACCATCAGTCGGATCATACAGAGACCACACTTGGTTGACAGCAAAACAGCTCGTTGTCAGTTCAAAATTGTTGAAGTCTGGATCAGGTGACTCCTGCTTGATAGGCTTCTCACTAGCTTTGTGGTTAGGGTCAATCTTGCCCGCCATATCCATCCCTTCTCCACGTGCTTCACATCCTTTACTCTTTTTGTCTTTGGTTGACGAGGTTTCTTGGAATCCAGAATTTACATCTGACGGGGCAGGAGCATCACCACAGTCAAAACGTTTAGATGATCTAACACCTAAATTTTGTTTTCCCGTAGTTTCCTCAACAATGTGTCTCCTCCTTCTTTTGCCCTTGCTCGTAGAGTGTGCTTGATCACTCATTGAAACTGATTCATCAGGTACAGATTTAGAAGCACCTGTTTCTGGTTCTGTAACCTCAGGTTGTGGCTTGTGTAGTTCAGCCGTATTCTTCATCTTTCGCTCACCTTTCTCTGGCTTGCTTGATTTGCCACAACTCTCCATCAATCCGTCCTCTGGTTTGTGTTTTCTTACCTCAGCATTTTCATTCTCACCTCCTCCATTCTTCTCGTTGAATTTTTCTTTGAAAGATTCTTGCTTATCCACCTCAGCTGCTACACCTCCTGGTTGAGCACCAGTAGACTCCTGATTTGTATTCACAGATGTGCTACACGGCGGCTCCTGATTTCTAACTTCTTTTTGACCAGTGCTTGAATTAGGCGGCTCTCCACAAAATCCAGTGTCAAATGCCATGAAGGATCTTTTACATTTGGAACAGCACATAATCGTGTTCACATATTGCCTCAAGTACTTATACCTCTCGCCACAATGCTTGCAACATGCCCAAAACGTAACACTGTCACTGGCATTGTTTGTAGCTGCAGACTGTAGACCTGAGTTTGCACTCAACTGTCTGCTAGCAATCCGTGCATGGATTCTCCGCTTGATATCATACTGAGTCCGTTTCTCCTTGTCAGTGAGCAATCTGTTTGCTTCCCCAATCAACTTGAAAGCAGCCTCTGCACCGGGAAACTGGTTCTTGTCAGGATGGAGAAGCAACGCGAGCTTCTTGTACTGCTTCTTGATCGTTGCGTCGTCAGAGAAATGCATAGCTTGAAGAATACCGTACCAGTTCTCAAGACCACTGATTTTCTCCTCTGCAGAACAATGTACATCGCATACGGCTAGCATTTGTGGTAAGCTGTGAAGACCTGAGAAGAGACTCTGAGCCTTCATTACAAGCTTCTTAGCCCCAACGAAATCACATTTCTGCATCAATTCCTCTGCTAATGTTTTTGCCCTACAGGCCTCTTCCTTGTTGCACTCCATTTTGCAGACAAGAGACCTCTTAAAGCAGCTAAATTTCAGAGATTAGAACAACAAAGACACCAAGGAGCCAAAGCCAATATCTAGTTCCTGCAAATACAAATTCCATCGCTCAGTTTCGTTATCTATATTATCAATTCCCAATTTTTGATCTGTCATCCAAAAGATAGCAACTTTGAAAGAAAAAAACTCAGCTTTACCATATAAGAGACAGGAAATTTGAGATCTTTAAGCAATGTACTTCATCTGCTTCAAGGGTAGGAGTAAAAAATCAGTGTGATAGTTCAACAGTATAGACCTGCAAAACCAAATTGAAGAATTAACAAGAGAGAGTATAAGTCGTCTGACATGAAACCTGAGATAAACTTTAAACAAACCCAGAAATTGATTCCCTACTAAAAAAAAGTGATTTTTTTTGACGAATAATGAGGAAGGCGAGTCATAACCTGAAACTAAAGCTAATGAATATTGCCTATCCTGGAGAAACCCAGAATCTGAGACGACGGCTGGAGAATTTCGACGGACGCAAACAAGAGGAATTTTTTCCGAAGTCACCAAATGGCTCGCCGGCGTCGTCGCGTGAGCTCTCTCGCTGGAAGCAGACAGTCGCGTGAAGTTTTCTCTAATAAAAAAATCTTTTTGGTATATTAAAGCCCTGTCCTGAAAACGACACCGTTTAGGGAAACGGAATTTAAAGAAGAATAAAAGACTTGGACAGGCGGCTCGTTGAAACTACTTTAAAACATTTTTCCAGTAAACGAGCGAATCAATTTATTATTGTTACATAACAAAACCAGACCTGCAAAATTTCAAATCCATATTACATCACATATTTGTTATGTCTAGTTTAACTGTATAAAAGAGGCGGAACCAAAGTTATAGCAATCCTGCAAAAATACAATACAAACAAAAAGAAAACCCCCCAAAGAAGCAATAATCTTCCAAGAGCCCTAGAAATGATTATTGTGAGGAGGATTGAAAGGTTGATAAAGTTGGTAATTAATCTGGGGATGATCTGGTGGTGCAAACTGGTAGTTGTTTGGAGTTCCGGTGAAACCTCTACGGTAATGATCGACCTCCCAAGCCCGTCTTTGATTCTGTGAATAGCCATGCCCGATGTGATAATGGTTTCTTGGGTGAGAAGCAACCTGTCTCCAGCTCTCGTTGCTTTCCCACAGGCTGCGTTTGTGTCCTGTATGCTTGATTGTCGTCGAGCTTGAACTCGGTTTGCTCACGGAGGAGGAACCAGCTTCTCTTGGAGGTGCGTTGCTAGTGACAGCTACAATCTCTCCTCCATTTGGTGGGTTTTCCGTCTGGGCTTGTTTGGTTCCGGATCCGGAAGATGGGTTTCTTCTAAGCTTACTAAGCGACTTGATTTGTTCCTCGAGGCTTCCGGGTGGGAACTCTGATTCGAGTTTGTGAGTCGATATGCATCTCATGGCGGCTCTTAGTGATCTGATCTGCCTGTCTATAGCTGCAACCTGTAAAGCCTGCGTTCATACACAACAACAAACTCTTAAAGAGACTTCTTGTGATAATTAAAGAAGTTAAGAACAAAGGAAAGGATCAAGAATCTACCTGAGGTGCAGATTCTTTATTGAGGTCTATAAGGGACTTCTCTGCAAGTTCCTTAATAATCCTCAAGGAATCTTTTATAATGGCGGAAACAGGATGGAATGTTTGGGCCATATCAAAGGAGAATATGTAATCTATCGCCTTGATACGACGTCCGTTTCTTATGAGGTTTTGAATGAAACCTATAATGTCCTTGTCCAAGCCGAGAGACTGGCAAAGATCAGGAGAAACATTTCGCCAGTAAGGAGTGTCCAGTAGAGCAAGAAGGTCATAAGCCTTGAACTCGGACACAATCCCGAAGATGCCAAGAAACTGTAGGAAGCAAACGATTTCCAAGTCATCCGCCTTGTTGTTTGAAATCTTATATTTCCAATGAGCCGCGAGTTTCTTTGCATATCCTTTCAGTGGTTGTCCGATCTGCGGCTTCTGCTTCTCCAGGTGATTCAACAATACGGAGCAGGTAGGTGAATCAATCAGCAACTTGAACTCGGAGCTTGTAGGACAGAGGGTCATGCACGTGTCTAGCACAAGCTTTGCTGGATCTGGTGTGCATTTGAAAGCATTGGAGAGATCACTCTCCACTATAGGTTGATTTCCTCCTACTAGCTTCCTTAACATATCTGCGTTGATGGAACCAGAGAGAATCTTAGCCCTGATTTCAGCTCTTGATGCATGTGTTGTTGTGACGTCTGCCTGACGATTTACTCCTGATTCTCCAACCACCACAGAAGGAACAGACACTACATGATTCAAAAGGCATAAGAAAAAAAATGTCAGTTTATCACTTATCTTCACACACAAAAACAAAGCTTGGCTTACACGCAAGGTTGATACATACCTTTTGAGTCGCTTAATCTTTGACGTTTGGCTTCAGTCTTCTGCTCATACGGAATAGAAGAATCAGGTTTAGGTTTCTTCACAGCATCGGAGGTCGAGCTCTGTCCTTTTTCATAACTTTTGTGAACTGGTCTAGGGGATGATGATTCATCGTTCGCCAGTACAATCAGATGTTTGAAAGTTTCAGCAGGAAACAGATTCTCGACTCTCTTCTTTCGGATACACTCAAGGGCCATGACTGCATCAGCTTTTTTCTTCTCCCTCCATGCTTTCTACAACAAGTCAACAAGCCTAATCAAGACACATCATAAGCCAGAGTTAAGAGAACACACACACAGAGTTTTAGGTTAACTTACCTGCTTCTCCATTGAGTTTTTTGTCTCAGCAGCAATTACTCGGGCAGCTTTTTCTGAGGAGTCAAAGAAGTCAAGCAAAAGGGCTCCTGGTCGTCCTCCTGGACAAAGCTTGCTTGAACGGAATTCACAGAAGAATCTAAATTTTGCGAGGTAATCGTCCTTCTTCCGTAGAGATATAACCACATCTGCAGCGAAATTCACATGTAAGTTTCAGATTTTGTTGAGCAACAACCACTGTTAAATCAGTCTTGAAAAAAAGAAAAGAGGCATTACCAGGAATTCTATTTTTCAAATCCAGAAGCTGAAACAGTTTGGGGGCCTGATCATGCGAAAGGAAGGGCTCTAAAAGGGTCAAGAGCTCATGACGAGTAGTCAAAGAGGACAAACCGTAAGCAGCAAGGAACAACAAGCAACCTAAAACCAGCGATGGCTTGTTTGGATTGTTTTTCGCCTTTCTTAGCCAGTCAACCCCAAGTTGAGTCGCTTCCTGTTCCGCCTTCTTTCTGATTTCTAAATCCATCCCTATCAGTTTCTCTAACAAAGCGTTGCAACTCTTAACAACACCATCATCAGTTTCTTCAACATCTTTATTCAGATACTCCTTAAGAAACCCTTGTATAGCATCCAAAACAACCTTTGCCGGGTCCAAATATGGTATCATTCTTGACAAGGCTGCGTTCTTCTTGACAAAATCATCCGCAGAATCTGTAGGCGGTGTCACATTCGAGCCAACGTTTTTGGCCAGTAATGAAACTAACGGCTCAAATTTAAGTCTCAGCTTTTCTCCGGCGCTGATCCGTTCTTTCTCTTGCTCTACTTCTTTCACCTTCAATTCGAGCTCTATTGCTCTCGCCTTCAACTTCTCTTCTTCTTCCGCCTTTAGTTCGAGATCTTTTGCTCTCTCTTCCTTCAGCTTCTCTACTTCTTTCCCCTTCCATCCGAGCTCTTCTATTTTCCCATCGAGTTCCTTCAGCTTCTCATTATTGGATGTCTCCACGGATGCGAGTGTCTTCAAGAATGCCTCCCACTGTTCGACTTCTTCCCTATGTTTCTCCATCGCTGCCACCTGTTCCAAATGGAACTCCTCCCGCTTCTTCTCCAAACCTCTCAGTTCCAATTTAAGTGTCTCTTTTATCAAAGAGAGCTCTTCCTCCTTATCCTCAAGTTCTTGAGCTTTGCCCTTGATCGATTCCTCCTGTGATTCTAGTTCCTTGGCTCGCTCCTGGAGGATGTTTTTGGTGGAATCGAGATACGCCTCGATCTCCTTCGATTGAGCCGTAAGAAGAAGAACCGAATGAGCATCTTTTTGGAGAGAATCTAGGGTTTGGCGGAAGTTCTGCTTGCATAAATCAACACGCTCTAGCTCACTCGCTGCCTTCTCCATCAAGCTACCCATGAATTTACGCAGAGGAGCTTAAACTTCACCACAACGGCAAAACTAAATTTCAATTCACAAAAAGGAACGAGGTTGATGAATCTTCACGTCTGCTTGACTGTTCTCTCTCTCTCCGTGAGAATGATGATCGATAAAAGTTTAACACTCCCTCAACGCTTTACCTTTAAATAAAAACCAAAAAAGGAGAGTCACAAAAACCATTAAAGGAAAGTAAATATTACTTTTTTTTTCTATCACCATTGTTGAATATATACTAGGTGATTCTAAATTGATAGTTAATTGGATTTACAGTTAAGATTTGTTTTAGATTTGTCTTTTCAATATTTAAAGATTAATAGTTAAAATTAAAAAGACATTTAAATCAAGCTTAGTTTTGTTTTGAATTTTATTAATTAATTTATAATATTTTATCGTTATGCAGTTAAATGATTTATAGTTTTTCATAAATTTTTTACCGTTATTCCCATAGGTCGATGGGATACCTGAGAGGCCAATTGGCTCTCCTTTTTTTTAACTCCTAACTACCTTCGTTTGGGTAGCCAGTGTTTTTCATGATTTCTATAAAAAAGGATTTGTATCAAATTCAAATAAAACCAACAAATAACAACAAGAGAGAGATATCTATCATAAAAAAACCACATAAACCTCATAAAATAATAATGATGTATGAACTAAACTAAACTTATACATAGATAAAAGAACAAATAACGACATGAATTTTATAAAACTCTAAAGAAGATTAACCTATTTATACCCAAAAAGAAGATTTAGGGCTAATACTCATTTCCTTTTTGTATGTATAGGATAAATACCTAGCTAATTTGATCAGGTGATAGCCAATTCTCAAAGCGTTTTTTTTTATTATCACATGATATAATTAGCTAAATATTTATCATATATACGTAAAGGAAAATATTGTAATCCCTAAATTGTTTTCGTATAGTAGTTTAATAATCTTTTTAGATTTTATTTAGAAAAATTATGTGGTCACTTATTTTTTTATCATTGTCTAGGTTTAGTTTAGTTCATGCGTTATTATTATTTTATGAGGTTTATAAGATTTTCATATGAGATATTTCTTTCTTTGTTGTTATTTGTTTATTTTCTTTGATTGGATATGAATCTATTTTTCTTTTATAGAGATAATAATAATGGAAACATAGCCAAACGAAGTGAGGAGTTAGCGATATAAACCAAATCAAACTGGTTGATCTTAGGGAGTAACGATAAAAAGTTAACTAATTAAAATTTTATCCCACTTTTGATATAAAATTTAAACTGTTTTTTTTTTTTAAATAGAGAAAGATTTACATCTAGCATTCAAATTATATTGACAAAAATTTTAGAAACCATGAATAGTTTTTTTTTCACTGAATCATACGATAGATTAAAAAAACCTCATAAGGAGGGAAAGAGTATCTGTTACAAAGCCGACATAACAAACCGTTTAATAAAACGGAAAACACCAGCAAAAACCAGAGCATAACCAAGCTCTAGTTTAAACAGAAAACCAGTAGAACAGAGGAGAGAAGACACTCTGTAGAAACTATGAATAGTTATGGGCAGAAATCAGTTCCAAAATATCATTTAACAAATAATAATTTAGATGTCATGTAACTAATTGTTCTTTAACTAGCTAGTTAATGAAGTGTTTTATAACACCAAGGTCATCAAAATAATGTTAAAGTTATTATCATCACGTCATACGAAAAAAGTGTTGTCTTAATTAAGCTTCACATCATTCAAATAAGAACACTGAAATAACTTTGTGCAAATATACCATCATGGCATACTCTAAAACAAAATGCTTCCCTCTACATATTCTTTATACAACAACCATAGAGATTGAGAGATAGAGAAACAGATGGGGCAGCTATTTCACCATAACCTAGACCTATTAATAGATTTTCAAATCAACGTAAATTGAAATATTTTTGATATAGTTATTTATTAACGTAGAGTCAACATAAATTTTGTAGATAAAGTCTTATCCATTATTAACAAAATAATTTTATTCATTTTTTTTAATTCGAAATTGTCAATTGAATACCAACATAATTCAGCTAGAATTTTAGTTACGATCAACAAAAAGTAAAATCAATAATTGAATAGATCAAATACCTCGATTCAGTAAATCGACGAGCCTTTGTCGTCAATGACAGATGCACAACAGTTGGACCATGGGGAAGGAAGAAGCTGCGACCTATTTTCTTTCGTTTCTCCCACCGCTTCTCATGCCAACACGAAGAGAAGATATGTTATTTCAACAACAACAACAACAACAAAAATTGAACATGATTTATTCAAAATCGCTAATTGGATAACAACAAATTTCAGATAGGATTTAAGGTTGAAAACTATTTTAAACCAATAATCAAATAGCATAAAAATTGACTTACATTTTCAAGTCAATTAAAGATCTGATTCGGTAGATCCGGAAGCTTCGTTGGTCGGTGACAGATCCAAAACAGTTGGAGCATGGCAAAGGAACAACGTGCAGTGCAGCAGACTCCGTCACGTCTCTGATTAATTTTCTCCCATTTCTCAAAATGCTTTCTCTAACCGCGATTCATGCCATGTGAATTATGTTGAGGAAGACGAAGAAGATTCCGACAAACAACGTAAGAGATGAAAAAAACCCTAAAAGTGGTGGTGGTGGTGAAAACCCTAGAAGGAGGGAGGTTAGAGAGGGTAGAGATTAGGATTTAACCAAGGAGAAATGGAGGAATTTAGATCTGAAAAGCTATGCTTTTGTCTGGACACGACAAGAGATGAGAGAGATTGAGAAAATGGTGTGCGCAGACAGAGATAGGGTGATAGCGAAAGCCCTACGTACTTCCTTAGCCTTATATATTCAGAGAATCTAGGAAACAGGCCCACTAAACTTCTGACTCAGTCAGTGTCACCGCATGGCATTTCTAATTATTTGTTAATTAATTAATCTAAAGTCCCAAATTGTTTCACTATATTATTACGTTGACCCTTGTAAACTATCTTTCAGTTTTGACAAAGATACGCTCCCAAATTTAGCCCTGGGCACGGAGCAAATACTAGGCAAAAAACAGGTATCCGTGATCCGATCCGATCCGTCCGGATATTTGATTTTCTGATCCGATCCGATCCGAAAATTTTCGGATATCCGAAAATCCGGATATTCGTAACTTTGTTTAATATCCGCGGATTATCCGCTCCGATCCGTTTGATCCGGATATCCGTAACTCTGTTTAATATCCGTGAATTATCCACTCCGTAAATATTTTAAAAAATATTTGTATTTAAAAAATTTCAGAAAAATCAATTTTTAACACAAAAATATAATTTTAATTAAAAAACTATTAGTAGTTATTTTGTTTTAATTTTTTTTAGTGTTTAAATAATCAATTTAATGAATATAGATTTATAAAATTTAGATATAAACATAACAATCATCCAATTTATATATGTAATTTTATATATATAGATATATCTATATGTATAACGGAGCGGATCGGATATCCGGCTTTTAAAATTTCAGTATTTGTGATTTGCTCCGGTTTTAACGGATATTAATTTTTAGTATTTGCTTTGCTTTGTAAAATTACGGTTATCCGGATTTTTCGGATCGAATCGGAACGGATAACGGATCGAAGCAAATATAACGGATAATTTGCCCAGGCCTACCCAAATTAATGCCTTTTTACTCCCTCTGTTTCTAAAAGATGATTTTTTGGCAATTATTTGATGTTCCACAAAGATAAATTTTCTAGATTTTTGATACTCTTTCCGTTTCAAATTAGTTGTCGTTTTGGCAAAATGTATCTGTAAATATTTGGACGTATCTGGACGTGTTTTGCATAGCAGATACATCAAAATAATTACAGATACATTTTCCCAGAACGACAACTAATTTGAAACGGAGGGAGTACATTTTTTTTCAGATTTCAAGAAACATTGATTGTGTTTGTTGGATTTTTATTGGTTTTAAAGTTATATAAAATTGTTTTATTGCAAAAATCTATACAATAATGATTGAAAATCAACTTATTCTTAATCTATGTGAAAAAAACTAAAAACATTATCTTTAATAAATGGAGGGAGTACTTCTCTCTTTGTTTGCTGTGTGGTTAAAGCCACTTGTATTTTACGTGCAGCTTCTCATTGGAGGTGTAGAGCAGCCATCGAGACCTGACTCTCCTCCTATCCTTTTTGATGCCATTGTCTCTTGGGTTATGTCTCCAACCAGAAATAGGAAGCTCAACACAATATGCAAGCTGTTAAGTTTCCTTAAGGAACGAAACTCCAAACTTGATGCTCAAATTTCCCAAACTTCCTCAAATTATAATCAAGGAAGTGTAACTACTTGTTCGTGCTAAGCTCCTAGGAATGGACCGGGATCGGAGTCAAGGCTCAGAATTGTGGTTTATCCTTGCAAACCTATTTCCAACAGTAAAAATCATGCTTCTTTTATGCTTCATCGTTGACTCTTAGTTTCTACCTTCATATCTGTTTCAACTATATGTGTTTTTGAAGGCAAGAAGATGAATACAAGAAAAAGTGTGGGCACAGGGCTACAAGCTAGTACAAATTTAGAACCAGAAAATATATCCGCTTAATTCTCGGTTTGTGGTCCACACACACACAAAAAAAGACAAATATTTCGTCTCACACGTCATGTTGTCTTTTTCCAGTGTCAAAGGAGTCCTAATTAAATTCAGTGTTCAGTAGAGAGACTCGCATGTTTCAGTAAGAATTTTGGTGACTTGCCAGTTGCCACCTGCTCGGGAGTTCAACTCTCTTGTTCCCTATAGTGGGTATGATAATAAACTTAAAAATTGAGCTAATGATCAGGTAAATATACATCACGAGAAATTATTAATAGGTTAATAGAGATAACGAAAATCCTACGTACTTTGTGTTTCCATTATGATCTTCACCTTGATTTTCCACATGGATTTGAATGGTTTCAAGTCAGTGATCATGCTTAAGGAAGACATACTTAACAGACCAAACGATTCTTTGAA